TCTGATTGTTTTGTTAAGCTGTTGTATAACAACCAAAATGATTGTCTAAAAAAAATGTAACAGTAAATTATCATTGACATACTTTGTAATTAAAACATGAATTATTAAAGTCCACACCATGCGAATACGGTCGTGTAATTTGTTTTTTCCATATATTTCTATGGGACGACCTTTTCAATAAACAAAGGTAATATGCGACAATATATAATACTTAGACGACCCTTTTGGATTAATCGCGCACCATTGAACGCGGTAGTAAATTAAGATTATCAGCGAACATTTGATTATTCTAAAAAATCGTTAAGAATATTACTTTGAACTTATATTGCAATTTTTAGCGAAAACTAATTAAAATACTTGGAGAAAAACGAAGTGTATTTAATGAATTTTGTGATAGAGTTGTGATTACATAGTTCAACTATTCAAACGTTTTGCTAAGATGTAAATTAAAATATGTCACCAGAAGAGAAGAAAAAGCTTCCGTGCCTATTTAAAAAAGAAACACATTTTTTTCTGACAATTTATTCTTTATACGGCTAATCGGTGATTATCATTAAAATATACAATTGGCCGCTCAAAGCCACATAATATATAATACATACTAATTTTCACAAATCAATTAAACGTGTCTCTCTCTAAACTATAAAATGATGGCTTTTTTTATAAACATTCTCAGTATTAGTAGTTATACAGTATAACTACTTCTCATAATGATTAGACCGATCTATAAAAATTAGCCATAATAACGTGCAGCAATAAACAACCATGGGAGTTAAAATTCTTTAATAGTTTTCTTCTAATATTTCTATCTCTTGCTAGACGTTTAACAACATCACGCTACACATCATATACTCGCAAAACTTGTGTTGATGATATTTTTCCACATTTCAATTTTTTGTTGAACATTTTGTAATGGTTTTTCTATTGTTACACGGTACATGTATACGGTATGTAATAATATTTCCGGAAAAGAAAAATGTAACGAGTTTCAGCGGAAGCGTTTACAACAATTGTATTTTTATTATTGCTTTTTTTACCGTTCTAAAAATTGAGATAAAATAAAATCGATTTCTTTGTTGAAAAAACTCTTTTGATAAATTTTACAAATGCAAATATATAAAACATCTTATCGTAATAGTCGATTATAGTCTGAACTGCATTATACATTAATCTACAAGGAATTCGTTGTTGTTTTAAAAAAAAAAAAAATTCATGTAAACATCCAAGCTAACGCCAAATTAAAGATAATATTAGAAGATTATTATAATTAAGCAAAGGCTTATTACTACCGTTTAAAGTCTCTGTCTGTTTTTGGCACCTACGCAGTTTATCAAACTTTATACATGACGCCTTAACCACCATGTTTAAAATTATAATTAACTTTAGTTGTCTTGGGGATTATTGAGTAAAACAATAGTAATAATAATAATGATATATTAGACGTGTGTAACACTTTAGCGCGCTGAGATCGGTGTACATAAAATAGTTTGCATAACCACATATTATTTTGTTGTTATTAAATTAATTTGATTTTATCTTAAAGTAGAACATGTTGTGATGATGGACAAGTGTTTTGGATAACTTTGGACAGTAGCGTGACAAACGATCATTTCAGAGGCAATCACCTATACCATAGAAGTGGGTAGATAATTTGCGTTTGGGGAAAGAATAACTTTGGCTCTCTATAGTTTTGAGCTCGTCCCACCACTGACTGAGCGAGTCTTTTAACGAAAAAACAGTTTGGAAACTGTTCCGATTCATTTGCGACTTGCGAGTAGTTTTGTTACTCAAAAACACCGTAGGTTTGATGTTATAACACTATAATATGCACTTCTAGTCTGTTGGAAGTTGTATGCGCATACACCAGTGGAGGGTTTGACGGGGAAGGGAAGGAGTGGTAAGGCAGACATCTCCCATCTATTATAAGATTCTGGTTTAAATGTTTAAAGAAGTAGTACAATGTGGATCATGATGAGATTGACAGATTTATCCAGACCTTTTGCACCATTTCGGTATTCACCAAACGAACATTTCCTCGAATTTCAATCACCGCGTTTCACAATACATTGTAATCATATGGAATACCGAGCAAAGCGGTGGGGTTTTTTTTTTTTTTTGTTATTATTCTTTTACAAAATAGGATTTATAAGATATAGGTAGGTGGGTACATATTATTATAACGAGATACGTCTCCTCGGTGTATGGTAGCCGCCGGTCACGTTCGGTAACATTTATAATAACTTCGACTTACCGGGTCACGTGCGCGACACAATTTGTAAACGCGCCTCACGACCATTTTGTGCGTTTCCGCATATGAATTTTCCTCTGGAGAAGAAAATTACACGCGTGACGGCCTATCGTTGTTGTATACTTGCTGTATAATTTCACAGACTACCTTTTTGGGTTTAGGTCGGCGCCACAATGACGGTTACCGCGTAAGTCGATTGAAGCTCACACCGTACACAGGTGCTGCGGCTGAGAGATAGCTTAACCACCCCCACCTCCACCGGTATCGTGGTGCGTAACTTTTTATTTGTGTGATTATATAAATCGTTTTTTGAAGATCTAAAGTTTCAATGAAATATGCCTACCAGCACACGATTGTGTTTGTTTGCACACACATGTGATCATACACAAGAACAAAAACGCACAAAAACTTCGCGGTATGATTTGCACGGGCAGCTTTTACGCGTACATACAACGGTATAAATACGTTTCCCCCTTTGGGAATAAAAGGCACAATAATGATAAAACATCATCACGTGTATGAATAGGTGCTCTGAGTATGACGCCAATGTTTTTCGCCCACATTAGTGGTCCGCGTGAGCAGACTTGGGGTTCTCTTTGTTTTCCCCCTCGCGCAGCGCATTCCCGACGGGGACTTAGCACGTTGGGTTAACCTAAGTATAAAAAAAAAAAAAAGAATAAAGAAAGGAAAATAAAAGGACGGGTATGAGAAAAGAAAAAAAATCATCGCCAAAGCTCCATGACAACAAAGTGTATGCTTTAATGAAAAAAAATTCGACATTATCGACAAAATGTTGTAAACACATCTTAGAGATTTTAATTAAATTAATTGATTTCCCGTAAGCAGCGAGTCACGTTTAAGTCTGACTCGGATGCTCTCCGAGGAGAAAGACAACAAAACAAAAACAAATAAACCCGTTGAACTTCAAAATTCATCAAGTGCGATGATTGATCTCGTCCAATGGTCTATGTTTACTTTATGTATAACTTTATACGACACTAACCAGCGACAATGACTGTACAGTTTATTTATTTTTTTATTAAGTTCTTCGAAACGTATGGATCCGAAATATGTTTTACTTAATCCAATACTATCTATCATACCGTATCCTTTTTGTATTATTTTCAGCAGGCATTTTTTTTTTTTTAATAATAATAAAAACTATAGATTGTATTATGAGTAAGTCGATATAACGAACGCATAACCGATAATATAAATTTCCATAGACAAACTGATCGCTCCCCAACAGCCATTATCTGTACCTAAGTAGTCGAGTTTCGATTATGTATCGGTAAAGAGCGTGATATAACAAGGCAATAGGGGATTAAACTTCCTCGTTACCACGATATAACTTATCTGAACTTAACACAATAGTACGTGTGTTATTTTGTTGTTTACTGTACACTCCGCGTTTAACACATCTCAATATATAATTATATAGTACACTAATTATAAAATTAATAAACACAATTTTTAAAAACATATACATATTAGGTATGTTGATGTACTGTATTTGATAACCATCCAGTTATAAAATGTAAATATTATTATTATTTAACAATGTCTATTGGTTACTAACAATGATCGAGCTAGTGTACTACGGCACACTTTAGTTCACACTGAATTAATCATTCGTTAGACGTTTAGCCGATGATAACATATTATAATCTATTGCAAGATAATTAACCGTTAAATCGGTAGTGTCGCCATTATTCTGCCAAGTTGCTTTTAAAAAAGTTTCGCTCGAATGAATTTAATTTTATAATCTAAACGAACGTGGTTTAATATAGTATTTTTAACAGGCCAACTACTACGCTGAGCACTAATTAGAATATTATGGTCGAGATAAAACCCATTTACGCTGATTAAGCTTTAAACCCAATATATAACGATGAACATGTTAGATTCCAATTTTCGTGCATTAATTTTCATATTCATTTAAACAGTTTATAAAACCACTTTATGGACACAAACAAGTGTTATTTAAGTATATTTTCTTCTATTCTGTACACTTTATGTAGCTCCTAACCATTTTTGTTTTTTAAATCATTAAAATATTGAATGTGTTGCACGATAATAAATTATAGAATATATAAGTTAACCTAGAAAAAACTTGAGCAGCACTAGTGCTTTTATATAGATATAGTATAGAACAAAACATTAAAATAAAACCTCAACCACAAAAAAAAACCCCATTTTAGATTACATTTCAGTAGTAATCAGCGCCCAAAACAGTATAGGTACGCTAAAGTGTATTATTATGTTTGATTAATTTAAAGATAATAATATGATTGAAAACATAGATATTAAAAAATCTATATATAAACCAAAAAGGGCATTTCGAATTCGGTCATTCTTTAATATGTGACCTATTTTCGGCCTTTGACCTATTACTTTTCTATCGTGATGTATATAATTAATCACTCTGACTAATAAATTTGTGTGTGTACCCACAATTATTAGATCCGAATACACTTACAAAAAATATATATATTATCGAAACCGTGCGGGGTCGTCGACTGTACGTTATAAACCATATTACCGGGACCGACTCGGCTGAGATTGTATTTTTTTTTTTTTTGCACCCGACATATTATTATTATTATCATACACGCCGTACACAGTGGTGTATAACGCACACGATTATAATAATTAGTTACCCATTTCAATTGTAATTCCCCACCGTTCCGGAGACGGAGACGGCGGTCGTGGAAAGCGCACGCCGCGGGGTAGAGCTACTTGTTGTACTCACCTGTTGCGACGATTTGACGACGGCAGTGGTCGTAACGGCGGCGGCGGCGGCGGCGGCGGCGAGGGGTAACACACATAAACGTATACTACAGCGTGTACAGGGCAAAGCACGGCCGCGCACTCTACTCACAATGGAACTCCCAATACGTATACACACGCTGCACGACGGTTTCGCTGTACACACTATATAATATTATATTATGTTGTAGTAAAACCGTGCAAACTTGTGACCGTCCGTCCGGCGGTGTACCGCTCACTGGTACTGGCGCGCGACTCCGGACCCTGCGAACCAACAAGTTGCCCTGTAGCGCTGGCGGTGGCGGCTTTTCATTTTTCGCCGGATTTTCAAAACTACTTTAAAATATCCTTCTTCTTGTTGCCCGCCGCCGCGGCTCTTGTGCTCCGTCTCCACAGGAACACCACGGTGCGTGCCTATACCTGTCTTACCTGTCGTCTACATATCATTATCTCTATGTCCGTGTGTCGTTCCGGAGACGTGCGAGCATAATTTATGCCCAGCTCGTAGCCGGTGGTCCTCGCCAGCCCGCCGGCTTGCACTACACCTGCAGATTTAAGTCACAGACACGACCCAATCGATACGACCCGGTTACGCGAAAATTGAAGATTATATTTTTGACGGGTCCTTGCCCTCGGTAATGTCGACCATAGCTCACCCCGCTTACGCACACGACGTTGTGATTTGTCACTATTATGATACTTGTATTTTAGACTGGCCATACCTCCGAACAGAGTCACTCGGTCTCGCCGCGATAACAGACAAAGACCGATTTAGATACTTTTGACGGACCGTACGAGCCGGTCATTATTTATAAACGTCCGTCGAGTCTTTCTCGTCAACAATAATAGACATATCAACCATATATAGGTTACTATTTAACTTGCCTTTTAAAACTCGTCTTCAAATTAATACCCTTAGTTGAAGTATTAAAATCTGAACTCCGCCATTCACTATGATGAATACTGTAATCGCAACTTAAATGTTAAACGTGAACATAATTTGATAACAATGCTTAGACATGAAATATACCTATAATCTCTTAAATATTTTACAGACTTGGACGGAACTCGACGAATTCTTCGAAGTGATCAGAATAATTCTCATTCAGGCGTCGGAAGTTTGGCTCGTTTCGCATACATTATTAGTAATGGCCTATTAGGAATGAAAAAAAGAGCTTTAATATATTTTAGCTAGCTATTGTTGCTGGACGTATTATGACAGTTATAAATTCTCAAAATTATTCGCCCGAGGTATACATTTCTTAACTTGAGATTTGTACTGAACGTTGCCAATAAATTTTCGTGAGCTGAGCAGTAATGACCGTAAACAAAATACTAATTGTCATATAGCAAATAATTGTTTTATTTCATTGAAAAATATTACGCTTATAGTTTGCATTTTTAACAAGCATTTCTTCATACATTTTTATAAAGCCATTTTAAAGTTTTTAACCGTTTGTTAACCGATTTTCTTTCTTCTCGAATTCCTACCTTACCCTTGTTATTAAATTTAATATTATAGCTATCGCAATAAATCGTTTTCGAAATAATAACTTTAAACCTAATAAAAGTATAGAAAACAGTTCTCAAGTACTATTGCTAAAAGTTTTTGTTAAAACATTTGTTCCGGACTAGTTTTAATATGCGTCTTTAGAATTATCACTACTGGCTTTGTAACAAAATAAACTAGTTAATGCTTAGATATATTTTTACATTATTAAACTATTGTGCTATTTTTTATGTTAAAACTTCTATTGTTGAATATTCTGAACAATTGTGTTCCTAGAAAATATTCACTAACTATGAACTAATTACATATTATGTAGGTACACTTCAATATTTTCTTTCTAACAAGACTTCAGTATTAGTATAAGGACATGATATTTTAGATGTGTTAACAAAATATAGATCAACGTTTGTATATAATATTTCGTGCCATTTTTTCTGGATAAATTCTTCAAAGACAAGTAAAAAAATGTATTTGATTCCATTTAGGTATGGTATACGTTTGTTTTGTAGGCTCACATTCTCAGTCTACAAAAGCGGCTCAAAGGTATATTTCGAATTTTATCGATCCCACTTTGGTGTGAACTCATTCGTAATATTTGAGATGTCATTTCTCAAAAAACACTATTGTCGAACGTCGTGCTTTTGTTGTGACGTGACTTCAGCGAGAAAGTTAACATATGCGACATGTTTTCAAAAAACAAATCAAACTTTTGCAGGCCAACCTAAACTCTATGTAAATTACAATGACGTGTTACTTGAAAATTCCATTAAAAAGTTGTAGCACGTTACAGTTTAAACAGAATGCAAACGTTATAAAACACATAAAACATAGAATGTATGTATTTCGCCTTTGAGCAATAAATACTGAATAACAAACTAAATGTTGTTAAAACGCTAAAACCGTATTAAATACAAAACTCCTAAATTTCGGACGATTTTTTTACAACTACGCGCTTTATTAATTAGCGTGCTGCCTTTAAGTTAAGGTTGCCAATAAACACAAACTAAATCACTAAATTTTGTACGAAAAGCGGAGATAAATTGTGTGGCGCCACCGAAGTGAAATGGAAATCTAATCGGAACTATTGCAATGTGTTAAGCAACCATTTTAAATATAAGACGGAACGAAAACACAGATTAGGTACTTCACAATACACGAATTAATTATACAGACGGTGAGCCATTTTAAAGATATAAACCTGAGAATATCAACACAAACACTAAAAACAAGACATTTTCAAATTCTAGTTTTATTTTGAATTACAAATTATACAAAATATAATAGTTGATATTATGTAATATTCCTATAAATATTGTTATGTAATCATTTGGGTGTTTTGTTAGCTTTACTATATTTTTGTAAGTCAAAATTGGACTACAACGTCGGCGCTGTAAATAGGCAATTTCGCTACATCGGTGTGTTCAAACGAAAATATCTTGTACTGAATAACATTACCTTTTACACTTAAATCATTATTAATTGAAGTCCTACTATTTTAGACTTTTCTTGTGTTTTCGAAAACAGACCGCAATCCGACACTAATTTCAAGGATATATACCAATTGGTAAACCTAACATAATATACAATTGTTTTATTTAATATATAAGAAAGATACAAATATAACTAGAACCACATTATATTTTATAGAAAATCCACAGGCATAACATTCGAAACAACGATATTGTTTAACTCTTTTAATGGTGTTTTTCACATTTTTATTCTCAGCACGTTTTCAAAATTGAATTGTGCAACTCGTTGTTTAAATCTATACGTTCGTCCGACTTTCCCGACTTTATTGGAAATAAATATTAAATACCTGCACCCCCCTAGAAACCTACCCTCTTGTAGTTCCAACCCCCTCGCCGCCCTTACTCGCCCCAAAATGTATACGACCCATTCAATTTTGCATGCCAAACGTCAGCCATACCTACTGTACGGTCCTCCGGACAAGAACATTATTAATGCCAAACAGTATTCTGTGAGCTGCAAGCATTATCGCTGAGGTATTAAGAATAAAACGTTTGCAGACAAAATTATATTTGAGTATTTGAGAAGAAACAAAAAAAAACAACCGGAAATAGCTTAAAAGAGAATGTTAAAAGATGGATGTATGAAAAAATGAGAAGTTATATAAAATAGAATTAGATATGAATGTAGGTAAGTATAAAGAAGAGTTTAGTATTTTCGTTAATAGCTAGGAAATTGAAAGAAATATTATTGTATTTCTTTAAGAATGCAAAAAAATGTATCTAACTGTTTTTATAGAACAGTTTATATATTTTATAAACTACTTTTACGCTTGACGTTTGCAATAACAAATTCGCCAAACGGTCTTGGCAAAACAAGAAATAGTCGCGATTTTTGAAATGCTAGAAAGAATGCGCTTCGCAAACACGGTCGACTTATTGTAAGTATAACATTTTAAAAACGGGGCTATATATATATATATATATTATATTATTGTATTTGAAGCTCAAATGTGTCCATGACAGTAGGAAGTCGACTGAAGCGAGCAAATGGAAGCAACCGTGCGTAAGGTCAAATATATAATTGAACGTGCGCAGCACTTAGCTTGCATCTTTCGCATTGATGGTGTTCTAATATCATTACTGTGATTGTTGTTTTTATATTTATTTTAAATACTATACAAAAATGTGAGTTTTATACAATACAAATTTTAAGTAATAGTAGGTACATAAAACTTGTATACAATATAATACATATAATGTTTTTGCTTTGAAATGTACAAAATAAAAACATGGTACTGTACACAAGTTATGTAAAAAGCCAATAAGGGTGAAAAAAAATACATGGAATATACGGTACTACACGAATGATGTAGTTCTATTAGCTCGTTAAATTTCGTAAATATGTTATAGTTATTATATCATATTATATTAACATTATATTGAAGAATAAACTTTAAATAACTATATAGTACACACCTATAGCGTAATTTAAATTTTAAATAAAACCAGGAAATTGTAACATGAGCTACATAATATGAGTATGTAATAATGCAAACAGCTGTAACCTCATATTGCAATTACCATTAATTGCGAATGGCGAGTCGCGCATACTGTTATGTATCTTGAACGTTCAGTGTACACAATAAACCGCCAATGAATAACTTATAATATTATTTCAGTATTAACATTCATAAAACTGTATAATGGGTAATAAGTTAATTGTTGAGTCATGACGTCGGCTCAAAAATTCTATAAAATGTGTGTTTTTTAATCACTTTACATATATTATTTGGCCAATATAGTTGTCTCTACACTCAAAAGATTACCTTGATTATTAAATATTATGTTAGGTACTTACAAACCCAACTACAAGCAGGCAATTAGTTACAATGACATCTAATATTATCTTTATAAAATTATATAGGTACCTTTAAAACTAATCAATAAAGAGTAAGAGAGATCCGTTACATTTAACGATATAGAATATTGTTGATCTAACCTTTTGTTGCATTTTTTCTCTCATTTTCTCTAGTAAAATTGTATGTACGATTCTATAACCATAAATATAACCTTATTATTCTAATTATGGATCATTCACGACATTACACAATAAGCCTATACTTATAAACAAGAGTTTATCGCTAAATCTGCCGTCAGTAGAATTTTCCCTTTAACAAACTTAAAACTAGTTGGACTTTTTTTTCGATAAGTTTTAGCGTACCTAACAAATAT